AAAAGAAATCATCCAGAATGCATATTTTAAAAAATATCAAGCAAATCTTTGAGGAACTTAGGTATTGCTTGGTTTGATTTCCTACAATAAATGACAATTGTCATAGACAGCCATCCAAGATAAACCCTGATATCTTCATTTGTTATCCTTTCCCACAATATATCACATTCTCCTATGACATCAAGATGTCTCATTTTGATTGGAAATTTACCCTTCTTGTGAAGGGAAAGTGTTTAAAAGGGCCTGGGCCTTACACATTTATTTGTAAGATTCACTAATCTGTGGGTACAATGGAGCCTCATGAGCAGTACTGCCCTTAATTTTATAGCCTCTCACTGATACCTGCTCAAGCTGTATCATGTGTGCCCCTAAAATGGCCATTCCAGGGATCCCTAGTACACCTGTGACATCACCAGTAGGTTGTTATATGGCTGTTCTACTTTACCAGTCAGTCCTGAAGTGCACATAAAGCCTCATTTTCACTGTTTTGGATTATTTTAGGGCACATAAACACATTACTGTTGGTGACTCTATCCATATGCAGTTTCATGAAAAAGGTCATTGAGAGTCCTTTCTTTCCCTGGAATACTCTCTTGGGTACCTGGCAAGCATCCAGAGAGAGGAAATGAGAAGAAGTGGGTGCAGGCTCTGTCCTTTTTATGCAACCAGGGCTTTTTTTCTGGTGGGGCAGGGTGGGGCAGTCATTTTTATACTCTTAGTATGACTTTTTCTGGAAATTTCTTTATCCCATGAAGCAAATAAGTTTCCATCAGGTCTTCCTTACCAGTTTTTCTGACATCTTCAGACAGCATTTTATGAAAGGTAGTAACAATATACATCCAAACCGGGAGCCCTGATGATGCTCATTCTAAAGAAAGACATTTCCTGAGAATATTTTATGTGTGATACACTTATTTCTCTCTTTTCTAAAGAATTATTTTCCTCTTGAAGACTGGTTTGAATTCAAGAATTGATATGTAGGACTCCTCTTTAACACAGACCATTAAATAATTTTCAAATAAAACATAATTAGTAGAGAAGGAAAATACTTCTGAAATACGTTTTTTTTCCCCCAGCCAATGCCTTTATATACACAGAAGGCTACCGATTATGAAACGATTTTGATTTAATTGGCTGATTAGAAATAGTTAGATATAGCTATTAAATATAAATAATTAGAAATAACTAATATCTAGAAATAACTAGAAAAGTACAGAAATATTAAATTCTCCAGAAAAAAAGAATAATAATTGATAATCTAACTTTCTTCTTAGTATTTGAGTAGACATATGTTTATACAGGGGAATTGTGTTTTAAAATTGTCTAGTTTTTTTTTTTTTTTTTTTTTGATACTGGAGATTGAACCCAGGGACATTTAACCACTAAGCCGCATCCCCAGCCCCTTTTTATATTTTATTTGGAGATAGAGTATTGCTAAGTTGCTGAGGCTGGCTTTGAACTTATGATCTTGCCTCAGCCTCCTGAGCTGTTGGGATTATAGCATTTTTATTGATACCTTAGAAGCTGTATTTTATTTTACTTTTGGTACCAGGGATTGAACCCAGGGGCACTTAACCACCAAGTCACATCCCCAGTGATTCTTCATATTTTATTAGTGACAGAGTCTCACTAAATTATGTAGGGCCTCATTAAGTTGCTGAGGTTGGCTTTGAACTTGTCTTCCTGCCTCAGCCTCCCACACAGCTGGGACTACAGGCTTGCATCACTGCACCAGGCTTTATATCTTAGAATCTGGACATTGTTATTCTTAATAATTCTTAATATATGTTTTGGTACAAAATTATTATATTACATCACAGATAGTCTTATTTTTTAATATTTACTCCTGCATGTATGCTGCTACTTAAATTACTTGCATTTTAAAAGAGGTTTGTATTCATAGCTTTTCCTAAATTGCATATTAACATTAGTGGTCTACAATGTTGATAGAAATGGGTAGGCACTGACATGTTTATATAATTGTTTATATAACATTCTCAATTTAATGCAAATCAAACCAACATTGAGATTTCATCTCACTCCAGTTAGAATGGCAATCAACAATAAAATAACCATAAATTCTGGTAAGGATGTGGAGAAAAAGGTAAAAACATACTTTATTGATGGAACTGCAAGTTAGTACAAGTGCTTTGAAAAGCAGTATGGAGATTCCTCAAAAGACTCAGGATGAAACCACTGTATGACCCAGCTATTCCACTTCTTGATATTTATCCTAAAGAACATACCAATGTTCATAACAGTGTAATTCACAATAGTCAAATTATGGAACTAAACATGGCGCCTGTCAATTGATGAATATATAAAGAAAATGTGGTATATATACACAATGGATTTTATTGAGTTATAAAGAATAATGAAATAGCCAGGTGTGGTGGCATATGCCTGTATTCCCAGTGACTCTGAAGACTAAGGCAGGAGGATCTCACGTTTGAGGCCAGCATCAGCAACTCAGCGAGGTCCTCAGTAACTTTGTGAGATCCTCTCTCAAAATACAAAATAGAAAAAGGCAGACACTTCTCAGAAAAGGATACACAATCAATCAACAAATATATGAAAAAATGCTCATCATCTCTAGCAATCAGAGAAATGCAAATCAAAACTACTCTAAGATACCATCTCACTCCAGTAAGAATGGCAGCCATTATGAAGACAAACGACAAGTGTTGGCGAGGATGCGGGGGAAAAGGTACACTCATACACTGCTGGTGGTACTGCAAATTAGTGCAGCCAATATGGAAAACAGTATGGAGATTCCTTGGAAAGCTGGGAGTGGAACCACCATTTGACCCAGCTATTCTTCTTCTCGGACTATACCAAAACAGCATACTACAGAGATACAGCCACATCAATATATATAGCAGCTCAATTCACAAAAGCTAAAGGGTGGAGCCAACCTAGATGTCCTTCAGTGGATGAATGGATAAAAAAAATGTGGCATTTATACGCAATGGAATATTACTCAGCACTAAAAAAATAAGATCATGGCATTTGCAGGGAAATGGATGGCATTAGAGAGGACTATGCTAAGTGAAGTTAGCCAATTCCCCCCCCCCCAAAGAAACAAATGCTGAATGTTTTCTCTGATATAAGGGGGGTGACTCAAAGTGGGGTAGGGAGGGAGAGAATGGATGGAAAATTACCTCTAGATAGGGAATAGGGGTGGGAGGGAAAAGGAGGGAGAATGGGAATAGCAAGAATAGTGGAAGGAGATGATCATAATACAAAATTCATGTATGAAGAGATGAATTTGGTGTCAACATGCCTTAAATACAAATAGAGATTTGACAAATTGTGGTATAAAGGTGTATTAAGAATTGTAATGCAAAAAAAAATTATGAATGTAATGCACTCCTCTATTGTGATGTATGTAATAAATAATGAGAAAAACAAAAAAAAAAGAAAAAAAAAAGGAAAAAGGCTCGAAATCAGGATGTAGCTCAGAGGCAAAGTGCTCCAGGTTCAAATCCTCAATACAAAAAAAAAAAAAAAGAAAAAAAAAAGAAAGAAAAAAAATCAAGTTCTGTATTTGCTGATAAACGGATGAAACTGAAGAACATCATGCTAAGTGACATAAGACAGACTCAGAAAGTCAAAGTTCTAATGTTTTCTTGCACATGCAGAAGCTAGAGATAAATAAGGAATTTAAATGGTGGGGAATCCCATGAAGATGGCCAGGATAGTGGAGTAGAGAAAGGGAATAGAGGGGGGCGGGGAGAAGGGGTGGGAAAAAGGAGGAATTGTGGAAAGAAATTGACCAAATTATACCATGTACATGTGATTGGATATATCACAGAGAATTCCACTTTTATGTACATTTATAAAGCACCAATTATAAAAACGAATAAAGAGAAGAAGACTAGAGAAGGAGAGAAGGGGAAGGGAGAAGGAGAGGTGTAAGTACCAGGGGTTGAATGATGCAAATTACATTCCATGCATGTATGACTATGTCAAAATGAACTCTACTACTATGTATAACTATCATGCACTCATAAAACATTAAATATTTTAAAATGCATATCATTTAATTGTGCCCCTGCAATATATGATAGTTCTTTATACTATTTGCAAAATATTGCTGCCCTTCATCCTTGGAAATGTTATTACAAATAAACATATGTAAGGTTGTATCTACCAGATCAATATGTGATCAATAATTCACTGCACACAAAGTGGAAAATACCATAGACATTATTGACAGAGTCTCACATTGTTTGTAGCTTTGTCTTAAAGTTGGGACTTCCATAAACAAATCAGGGTATGGAACTCAAATAATTAATCAAGAACTAGTCTAATTGATATACACGTACACATAGTATCTTTGTCTTTCATCAGCACTTGTTCTAAATGATGTCCTGAGTCTGATTGCATAGAGTTGGTTGGTCAGCCTGAAGCGGGCATCTTCCTAATTTATACTCTCTGTTCTGTTTTTGTCTGGCTCTTCAATCTGCTTGATTCATCTGTTGTATCCCAACACATCCAACCTAATCAAGTTGTGTCGAGTTGTACTGCCTTTCCATATCCTGGGTCCACACTTTCGGCACTATCTACTGAGGTCCAGTGTTAACAACCACTATGCTCATTCAACAAACAGGCACTGAGCTGGGATATAGAGGTGATTCAGCCTCTTGCCCTTCAGTGAGAGATAGCAAACTGCATCTACTGATTTTGCCTGCCTCAGCCTGCACATTGCATGTTTCTTTCTTTTTTTTTTTATTTCCATAGTAATAGTTAATACTTAAAGAACACCCACTTTCACCAGAAAGTAACATTTTCACCCATTTAATTCTTTTAACAAATCTATAATATGGATACTGTTGTAAGTTCCATTTTATGGATTAGGACACTAAAGCTCAGAGAGAATGAGAAACTTACCTAGGGTCACACATCTAAGGAAAAATGAAGGAAGACTTTGAATCTGGATAGCCAGCTCCGGAGTCTGAGTCTGTGCTTGACACAATATTGGCTTATGTTTATTTTAGGAAAATTTCCATCCTCATTGATAGAACCACACTGGAATGATCAATTAAGACCAGAGAGGGCAGTCCTGACCCAGGCTACAAGGGAAATGGAATTGTGAGCAGAGAGACTGACCTGGAAATAATAGCTTGAGGCCATTCATCTGGATGGTGGTACCCTGAGATATCATTCATTTATATCTGCTGTCACAACATCTGGAACTGCTCAGGTTCTTGCCCTTTCTCAAGGTTGGTTCCTCAGCTTTTTCTTCCGCTGTGAAATCTGTCCTATATCTTTCCAATAATTTCACTTTTATATTAAGTAAGCAATAGCCAATTACTACTGCTTTGCACCAAATTTCTACAATTTTGTTTAAATTACAGAATCAGATGAGATGTTGTATTAGTAAATTCTATAATATTGTTTACAATTATAGAACCAGATGAAGTTTCAAACTTAGTTAAATTAAATTCTCTGGAAGTCATATTGTAAAATATGGTGTCTTTTTGACTTTTAGGACATGTTTTTGGGTGTTTACAGGAAATTTGATATGCAATGATTCTAATAGGTTCAAGCTTCCTACCTCACAACATTTACAGTTTTGTTTGTTTTTAATTGATTTTGTTAACCTTCTTATTTTAGCACTTTATTATGTCAATCAATAATGAGTGACATGATGTAATAAAAGTTAGGTTTAAATTTTATAGTCTTATTTGGACTAAGGAAATAAACAATTATAGATAATAAATAATTACATTGCATGTGCAATTAACATTTATCTTAAAGTCTATCTACTTATGCATTTAGTTGCAAATGCTTTGAAAGTTTGTTGAAAGATGAAAACTACTTTTTATAAAACACAAGATTCACACCTATGAAATACCTGAGGATTTGAGAATATAAAATATTGTCAAGACTAACCAATAAAAACAGGTCACACAGAAATACACAGTTTGACCTCAGTGAATAAGGAAGCTATCTTGGCAAATGTTGTCAAACAATTATACTTAAAAATGTTTACCATTGAACATTTTCAATTCACAGTTTAGAAGAAAGAAAATTATATTGAGCCCTCCTGTACTTACCACTTTGTTTCAACTAGTATTAATTCATGGCCAATTTTATTTCTATATACTTCACCTACTTCTCTCTCTTAGATTATTTTGGAGCAAATCCCAAACATCATATTAATTCATCTGTATATTTTCCAGATATATGTATAAAACAAAATTTTTTTTTCTTCCTTCTCTCATATATATATATATATATATATATATATATATATATACATATATAACATGATTATTACATCTTTTAAAAAGCTAATCCTTCCTTGGTATCATCAATGTCCACTCTGCAACCTTATTTGCAGCCTGGCCTTTTGGTGGGAGGGGTGCTTAGGGTTTCCACATTGCATCCTCTTGCTCTCTCAGATGTCAGCATCACACAGCAAGCTCAGACTCACATGGTGTCTAATTCTAAGCATATGTTCCAAGCTTTTCTGCACTATGGTAGATGGCACACCACTGGGTGAAGCAATGCATCCTCAAAGGGGAGGTGACAAAAGCCCAGGTGTAATACTGAACCAATGGGGACAGGTGTCTGTGGAACAGCTTCCAGCCTCTGGTTCTTCGAGAAGATGATTCTTGGCAGCCTGCCATGTGCTTCTTGGCCCAAGAAGAGCCAGTCCCATATGCTTACAGTGGCAACCTTCCTAATGCACCTCTATGTTGGCTTTTCCTCCTTCCCAGAAATACTTTATCTGTTCCCACAGTTCTGTTTCCTGGAGTTACATCTCAAGTCCGTGGATGAGTGTATATACCCCAAAGTAGAACAATTGGGCCTTATGATGATTTTATTTTACATTTCCACCAACAGTACTAAGGTTTCAATTTCTCCATATGCTCACCAACACTTGCTATTTTCTGTTCTTTTTGTATAAGTCATCATTATGACTTAATTCTATTCTAATCTATACATTTTTTTCCTTGTTTCTCTCTCTCTACCTTCCTCTTCCTTAAAGAAACAAGAGTGTCTTGGTTTTCCATAATCAGTTATTTTCCTGAATATATGCACACCCTGCTAACATACAATGCAAAATTTGTAAAAACAGTAAAAATCCATTAGTATTGAATTTAAACTGGAAGTATCAGTGTGGCATGGACAGATGACATATTTTATTCTGTTCCAAATTATATATTTTCTACTCTGCTCCTGGTAAAAGTCTAGAACAAGGAGCACTGTGTGTGTGTGTGTGTGTGTGTGTGTGTGCGTGTGTGTGAGGGGGAGGGTGCTGGGGATCAAATCCAGGGTCTTCTGAATGCTAGGCAAGTGCTCTACTTCTGAGCTATAATTGCAGCCCTGGTTTGTGTGTTTAAAACCACTTCCACTAAATTTAACCATGCCCATCTTGGAGAAGAGGCTGATTTCTGGCCTTTCTTAGGAACTGCACAAAATAGTCATGGAACTCTTGTCATACTTGAAAGTGAAGCCAGTATCAAAGACAGCTAGGATGTTTCAAAAGACCCAGAAAACAACTTGAGCAGGTGGTCACTGGCCAAAGACTTGTGCATTAGTAAAGATAATAAATAGTTGCAATGGATTAAAACATATCAAACATGTTTAAAGAAACGTGTTCAAAATGACACTAAAGCAGAAAAAAATACTTTATGAGTCAAATTGGAAGATGCTGAGGATCTAATTAATTATTTTGAAAAATGATAAGAAAATTGATAGAATCTAATCTTCTTTTATACTAACTGTACCTAAACCAACAAAATTATTAATGAGATTGTGTCTTTCATAAAATATTCTAGTTGATAAACAAAAAAGTATAACAGTTTGTTAGTATTTTGCAACTCCTACTGATTTGGTATAGCTCCCCATTGACCATCACCAAATGAACCTCCCATGGAAGTTCATAGCAGCACCTCTGAAGAAGCCTTGTTAAAAAAATAAATCTTGAATCATATCAAAATTGTAGATTTAACTGTTAACTTACAGGAATTATAGGTCAAGGGAAACAACTATGTTTTTGTTTAACTACATTATACACTTCTTAAAAAATAATAGACATAGAAACTACAAATGAATGTGTATATTCATTATACAAAGTACGCCCAGATTTCTTCAGAAATTTCCTACACAGGCATACAAATGTTTACTTAGTTCAGATTTTTGTCTTAGGGAGGGCCTAATGTTCATGGCAAAGGAGACTTTTTAAAAGAGATTGGCACTTAACATGATGTCTATTATTTCTCCTGACATCTTATCTTCTTATTTGGCTTTTGGTTTTGTGGAATAAGATAAAAGAAAATTGTTAATACTCTGTAACACCATGTGCTTGGTTTTAGTAATCTCAGCTTTGATTTAGATTTTTAAAATGTTTTCTTCTCTGAAGAAGAAAAGAAAGAGTGAGACTCAAATATGGGACCAACAGGGAAAAGGGCAGTCAAATTGGATTCTATAGTGTTCAGTTCCCTGGACACACAGATAATTCTATTAATTATCCTTTCTTCTGACTTTTTGTAGTCAGGACTCTTTGTTCACTATTTCCTGAATACATGTCTTTCAGTGAATGGTGAAAATATGAAAGTTTTAAAAATGTGAAGTTAAAAGTTATTTGGTTTACTTGGAAACCAAGGAAGAATTGTAGGAGTTCTCTATGTCAATCCCAGGAATGTTTGGATCTTATTCAGTTTAATGATTAATACACAGTTCTTTTTTGTGTAGACCAAAGTGCAAACTGTGAGATGAATCACAATGAATCCTCATTTACTTCTTTTCTTAAATCTCTTCATGATTATAACTTGTTATAAAGATTTATTGAACAATGCCAATTAATTCCTTCAAACATTTAAGAGCCATTCATCATATGTATGTTGAGTACCTGCTATTTGTTGGGTACTGAATTGGATCATGGGATGATAGCAATGAACAAGATCTATACATTGAGTCCTCTCCAGGAAATTGCAGGTTGGGGTTTCTAGGAAAGCATATGCCAAGATGGAATTAGTAGTGCAAGAGATTAATTGGAGAAAATGCTCATGAAGCATAACAGAGAAAGGGAATATTGGGAGTATTTGGGGAGTGACTCAGTCCATGATGCAGGTCTGACAATGATGCAGGAAAAGAATAAGAAGACTGGGCAGGGAGAACCTAAGATTACAGTGCATCCCAAGAAAGTCTCAGCTAGGCTGATGAGGAGCCCTGAGCAAAAACTGCTCCTTGGAAAAGTCCCAAGGTTGGCCAAAAATGGTCCAGCTCTACTACTTCTGTTGGTCTTAATGATTGACTCAGAGCACCCCTGGGAGAGTCTGGCTTTGGTTGAACATCATGGTGCATCCAGTAGGTACAGTATGTATAGGCTGTCAGCTAACTGTATAGGTTTGTTCCTGAAGGGGGAGGTAATAGGTATATTGGTAGAAAATACAAACATTAGACAAACTGATAACAAAGGTGAGGCACCACAGAAAGGATGACAAGGGGGTATTTTGGTGGTACAGTAAGGGAAGTTAGCATGCATGTTCTTCCCCTGTTTTGTTCCATGTCATAGTAAACAATGTTACATAAATTCCCTCTCCTGGTGCCTTTCTGATGGGTTCAGCAGACAGGAGGCACAGGCAAGAAATTGGAAAGTGGGAAAGAGGAGAATCCAGTTTATTTCTCCTTATCTCTCTGCCTCCTCTCATCTCACCTCCCAGGTTTCAGCTCTGATTAGAAAGCCCTTAACTTTGTAGTCCTAGCTTCTTCTAAATGGCCATGGATTCTGGGACACTTGTTGTGGCCACTGTTCTCTTACTCTATAGAGATCATAGGAAATTCCTGATTTAAATAAATATAGTAAATCTGTGTTGCTTCACTGTTCCTTGTTTGGTTTCTCAAGTTTTGAATCACCTTTGTATAAATTCTTTTTATAAGTCCCCTTTGACTGAAGATCTAGTGTGTTCACATTTCCTGTTGGCCTAGTCTGGAAGATGTCACAGGGAAGATTTCCTGATGGAATGACATTTAAGCCAAAACCTGGATATGAGCTATCCAAAACAAATTGACCATAATTGGTACATACAATATGTGTACATATTGTTCATTTGGAATATAATGTAAGGGCTGTGGATGTAGTTCAGTGGTAGAGTGCTTGCCTGGCATGCATAAGGCCCTGGGTTTGATCCCCAGTACCCAGCCCCCCGACACACATGCAAGTTAAAACAGTATGACAGCTAAAAATATAGATTCTGGGACTTCAGTGTTTGGGTTTAAATCCCACTTTTTAGATAAGTGACCTCAGGAAGTTCACTAAATTCTTTTGTGGTTCAATATCTTCCTTTGTAAAATGAATATAATAATACTATTATCTTCTATGGAAATAATGAGAAGTCAATAAATTAATATGTAGACTCAACAAGGTTTGCCATTATTCTTTTGCACATGCATACAGGACTTTGCAGTATCTATGTATGCTAATGAGCACTCCCAGTCTTCAAGAGAACACTGAATACAACGTAGACGACTTCTCCTCCTCCTCTTCCTCCTCCTCCTCCTCCTCTTCCTCCTCCTCCTCCTTCTTTTTCTTCTTCTTCTTTGAGAATCTAATATTCCAGAGGAGGATTCTTAAGACAGCCAGAGCTTTTGTCACTTATTATAGGCCACCTTCTTTTTCTACCTGTATACTTGTAGATTTCTTACTAATGGTGGAAATTCAGTACTTTATTAGGATGGTCATGTCATAGGTCACTTTTAATAAGTTTTGCTTCACATGCAGGGATATCTTATTATTTTTTGATTTTGTTTATTTATTTCTTCCTATGAAATGTGTTTTTCTGCTATATTAGTCCGGGGCAAGACAGTGCTTTACTTTCAAGTACAAAAGACATGTTTCATAAAAAACATCAGGAATTGATAAGCAATGGTGCAGGTAATGGTGCCTGTCATCCTACTTAGGCCAAATCTGGAGATATTTCTATCATTGTTTGGACATTTGATGGCATCTCTGATGTAGATGGAACTCTGCCCAGATGCTGGAGGCTGCAGGATCAGTTGCATCTGCTTGTTCAGCTACAAAGTTGTCTATGCTCTGAGTCTATTATCTTTTCTCTGCAATTTCATAATCTCCGTCTCTTTTTTGTTATCTCAGCCTCATTTGGAGCATTGTGGGGCTTTCACCTGCAAGCAACACTAGGCTTGATTCACTGAATACAGCTCTGGACTGTGGCCAGTAATGAGCTACAGATTTCTCTACATCATAGAAATGATGATGATTTAACTGGCAGAGAGATGTAAGGTGGATTTGCTCACACTGGAGATGCAATCTCTGTAATTCTTCATTGCATGCATCTGGAAGCATGAGCTCTGAAGTCACCACAAAGGAGCATTTTGGGAATGAGCACTGTTATTGGGGATAACCCAGGCTTCCAGGATCATTGCGCATGCCAATGCAGTAGTGATTAAAAGCAAGCATTCTGGAGAAACAGGCTCAGGTCCTTGCTTTTCTCCTTTTAACTGTGTGACTTTTGACCAATTATTCAATCCTGATAAGCTCTCCACTACTAATCAATACAATAGGGATGATAATAATACCTACATCATAGGGCTATTGCGGATTGGTTATTTATATAATGTTCTATGTGGTAGTTGTTATTATCACTGGTCAGTACCTAAATCAGGGCCGTGTGTTACCACTCTGTCTCTCCTACTTTTACCTAACACATAGAGTTATTCTCCTTTAAAATAAGGAATTTGGATTGCCACTCTCATATTTAGCTCTTGAGGAAAACAGCCCACAATCTGGACGAGGATCAATGAATTGGACATTTGAAATAGCATTCAGTCTTTAGCAAGAGGAAACTGGAGGAGAGTGCTGGAAGTGTAAATCCCTATTTCTTAAATGGCTTTGGACTGGGCAATTCTATTTTCTCCTCAAGGAAGATCAATTATCCAGATGTCAGATTTCTGCCACTTGCTCTTCTATTCTGTTCTTTCTCTCTGACTTTTTCATTTCTTTTTCCTTTACCTTTGCTTTCTGTAAGAGTGTGTCAAATCTTTCTCCACAGCCCAGCTTAATGTTCTGCAAGCTCAATTTAGCTATTCAGGACTTTGAGAGAGATCTTTTAAATACTGTCACAACATTATTAGTTACCTAACATTGTTTATGTTTTTTTCCCCACTAATACAGTCAACTTCCTTTCAAACATGTCTTCCTATATCTTACCTTTCATTTCATTTTACTTTTTTTTAAATATTATGAAGCAATGTTCTAAAATATTTGTTCCTTGGAACAAATCTTTGTAAAAATACAGTCATCCAGCTTTTATCATGCTGTCTTGGTTTTCTTGCCAAAACTTTTCAAAGGCTTTAACACTGTTTATTTTGTATATTCTTATCTCTGATAGAAGGCAGGTCTATTTTGATCTGCTATTTGAATAAAAATTAACATGGCACATATTCCTTGGGTCTGCTCATGGTGTAGCTTGACATTTCCCACTCCTCCTTTTATATTTTTAATAAAAGAGATGATATAGATTTATATTAATCATTTGGTTATTAGGCTGACAGAGAGGAATGGAGAGAAAATTGAGGTGTAAGCAGTCTACGGAAGAACAGAAGGAAAACAGTCCTTTTAATATGTGTTGAAGTGACCAGGTTTTCATATCTAATTTCCCTTTAACCTAGTGATTGCTTTTAGGTAAATAACATTGTTTTGTTGTTTACCTGCCAATCCGGGCAAATGTTGTTTAGTTTAGGAAAATGCCTTTGAGTCAGGATGAATATATCATTGGATGGGAAGCTGTCTGTCTGTAACTCCTTTTTGCATGGTCTTGTTTATTTTTTCAGCCCAGTGCTTCTGCCTCAGAGCAGCTGTGTGTGTGTGTATGTGTGTGTGTTTGTGTAGCACTGAAACAAACTCTAATGTAGAAAGTTCCTATTTTCCACAGTTCCCTTCCTTCTTTCTTTCCTTCATTCCTTCCCTCCCTCCCTCCTCTGCCTTTTCTCTCTCACTCCCTTTCTGTTATAGGAAAAAAATCCTCATTGATTCAGAAAAGCACTCCATCACTTTGGAGAGGAGTGACTTCTAACACGAAGTTGGGGTCAGTAGAGATCCTTACCTCTTTTTCTGTTAGGCATGCTTTGCTCCCAGGAAACCGATTCAGGAGTTCCAAGTAGAGTAGTCCTTATCTGTCCCTTGCCTCATTTTCTTACAACTGTTAATGGCTGGACAGATTGTCACTGTACAGGGGAACCCAAGAGGGGACTGACTCACATACTCCTGCTGACTAAGCTGTGTGACCTCCAGCAGGGCTCCTTCCTCCCAGAGGAACAGGCACCATCTAGAAATTATCATAAAGACATTGTTTATCTGCCCAGTGTGGGGACTTGTGTCCTCTCAGTGCAAATGCCTATTTCTAATTTGCACAAAAGTTTACCCTGGGCTATTCATGGTCTGGGCAACATTAGGTGAGTTTGTGGGACATGCTTTCTTGGAAACGAGGTCATCCCTTAGCTCTTAGTGACTAGCTTCAGTTTTATCCCATCTGGGCCATTTCTGGGAGAAACTCTTGGATACTCTTTGTTATTTTTCAGCTGGTATGAAGAGAAGATTTGACCCTACTTTTCTGTTCTCACCTTTCTGAGAAGTCCATACTTTATTTTAAGAGGTGTATTAAATGGTTAAAATTCTGAAAAGAATGAGATGAAGGAAGAAAGGCAGGCAGGAAAGAAGAAAGGAAATGTCACTGTCCTATTCCTGTCTTCAGTGTGCTGAGTTTCTCACCCTACTATTATAGGTAAGCACTGTTAATTATTTATTATATTTGCATCTACAATGTATTTATGCACAAACAAGTATAAATTCTTTTCTTATTTCACTATTATATATTTAAATAGAAGGGTATGCCATATGGCTTACTTCGGATTTTTATTTTCATCTAACAATATCTTCAAGAACTTTGCAAATTTGAACACTGAGTCTTCATTTTTTTTATTTAGCAGCGTAGTGTTCCACTGCATGGGCAATTGGCTAACCAGCCTCCTCTAGATAAACATTAAGGATTTTCCAATCAATTATTCTTACAAACAATGTTGTAGTGAATAACCTTGTAATAATGTATTTTTCATATGGGAAAATATGTCCATATGATAAATTCTTAGAATCAGAGGAGCTGAATGAAAAGGTATTTGATTTTGTAATACTAATTGATATTTCCAAATATCTCCCATAAGGTTTTAGCAAATTATATTTCTATCAAAAAATTTTGAAATGATTGCTTCCCTTAAAACTTGCTAGAATAGTGTCTTGTTAAGTTTTAGGTTTTACCCATACTGATTGGTAATATAATTTTTTAAAATTTTCATACTTTTATCATGAGTGTTTACTTTTTCATATAACTATGAGCCATTTATATTTTACTTTCTATGGAGTCTGTTATATCTTTCGTTCATTTTCCCCTTGGGTTATTGGTCTTTAATTATTTAAACCAATTTTAAGAACATTTAATGTATAATCTAGTTCTTTCTCTGTTTAATGTGTTAAACATACTTTTCTAATGATTGTCTTATTTTTTGCTTCATTTTAATTTTACTGGTCATGTAGAACTCTGTCTTAAAAAATTTCGTTGTAGATGGACACAATACTTTTTAAATTGTATTTATTTATGTGGTGCTGAGGATAGAACACAGTGTCCCACACATGTGAGGCAAGCACTCTACCACTGAGCCACAATCCCAGCCCTAGAACACTTTTTTTAATGCAATAAAAAATGTCAATCTTTTTTGGCTCCTGAAATTTGAACGATATTTTGAAAGAACTCCTTGAAATACAGTTTATAAAAAAATTGTTTCTTTCTGTGATTTAATTTTTTACTTGTAAACCATTGATTGATTTGGGATTTGTTACTATAACATGTAAGGTGCAAGCTACGGATACAGTTATTTTTCTAGATGCAAAAATAAGACATACAATGATCAACACTTTTATTTAATCTTATAATAGAGAAGAGTCCATCTAATTAGACTAAAGAAAGAAAATAGAGGCACAACAATTTTAAAGAAGGTTAAAAATTTAGCATTTTTGCAGATTATATGATTGTATATCTGGAAAACCCAAAAGAAGAAACTAAAAAAGAAATACTAAAACAATAAGAGATTAAATAAGATAGTATGGTAACACTTTTATATATAAAAATCAATAGTTTCATCTACAAATGACTAGTATAAGATCAAATAGAAGAAGAGAACTCATATATGGTGGTAGCATAAAAAAATAAAAACCTAGAAAAACCCTTTGTAAAGTATATGCACAATCTATATACAGAAAAGTTTAGAATGCTTTTGAAGGGCACACACACACACAAAAACAAAACAAAACAAAACAAAAACTATTGAACAAATTGGCAGATGCATCATGATTTGATAGAAATAGACAATAAAGATGTCATTCTCCCTAAGTTAATTTGTATATTGGCATCCCAATAAAAAGATCAATGGTATTTTTTGAAATATTCATGCTGATGTCAAAGAATACAAACAATAAATATTAATAGCTAGTAATATTTTGAAAATGAACACAAAGTGGGGGCTAACACTTTCTATTAAAAATATTACAGAGCCTCGGAACTTATTGCAGTTTGCTATCAGAGAATAAATAGATCAGGTGAAAAAGTAGGAACTCAGAAATGAACTTCAAAAAATAATGGAAATTTTGTACACAGTAAGGGTAGAGTCTCAACTTAGTGGGAAAGAGATGATGTTGGAACAACTCATTTATTTCAAGCTGAAAGTTGTGGATCACTGTATAATAAACATAATGATATTTACAAAATGCATCAGGATTGTCTCAGATCCTGAAAAGCCTAATGAGATTGAAAATGGACGTTAGACTCTGACTAAACCCACAACTTCAGCAAAGAGTTTGAGATAGGGAGAGAGAGAGAGAGAGAGAGAGAGAGAGAGAGAGAGAGAGAGAGAGAGAGAGAGAGAGAAATTGTTCTTGTATCCAAATGAAGTAAGTTACTAAATTCCATCCACAGTGATCAGGGCAGAATTTATATGTATTCATTATTCTATCCTCTGGTGTGTAGGTATTATGGAAAGAGAGGCAATTAGATATTTTACAAAGGCAAGAGAGAGAATACTTCTAAACTCTAGGAGTCATTCTTAAAATTTGGAATAATCCACTGAGCTTATCAAGGAAACTGGTGGTATTCTTTAATGATTTTTAAAATACCTGTTTCAGTGAGTGTAAAGGAAATTCTGGAATGAGAGGATAGGGACCTTGTCTTATAAATAATTTTTGCTTTATTTTAATACTATCACAGAGAAGACATATAGGCCATTGTGAGTCAACAGAATGCAAGATATGGGTGGAGGCAAGCTGTATGTAGCCTTAATTGCTTTTATTAGTGCTCAGGAATTCTTGGGGAAGTAGCTTGGCTTATAGACACAGCTCCAGGTTTTTCATCTCCAGGTGCTACTATCCCAGGTTTCTTGTTTTATTGCCTAGCTTACCTAATTTAATTTTCACATCTCCTAGGTTAAATTTGAATAAAAATTCTTCAGATCTTTCTGCAATATTGGGCAAGGAGCTGTGTTGTACAGATTAACTAATTCAGGGTCTTAAAGTCATTTGATTCAGGGTGCAGTATAAATGCAAAGCAGGATGCATCATAAAGCAAAATGCTAATTATTGCAGGCAATGCAGATGCTACCTTTAAAGGTGCCAGATGTGTATCACCTCTCAATAGCACAGGCTGGCTCCTGAAAAAGAATACGAGACATGGGATGTATAAATTGAGCAAAACAATCACTTGGAAGAATAAAAACCACTGAGTAAATCAGTGATTATCAGAAATGTTAGAAGGCTACTTTCTGGAAGACACCCAGGTCAAATGGGCAACAAAAGATATGGTTAAAAAACAAAACAAGGGTCTGGGGTTGTGGCTCAGTGTTAGAGCGCTTGCCTAGCACATGCAAAGCATTAGGTTCATCCTCAGCACCACATAAAAATAAATAAAATAAAGGTATTGTATCCAACTACAACTAAAAAACCCTCAGCTTCCATATTTGCTAAAACACTGAAGATTTGGATTCTTGTTTGTCTTCTTTTACATTGTTTTGTGGTTTAATCAAAGTGGAATGCTGCTTACTACTAAGGTCTACCCTGGACATGATTTAATCTAAAGTATGAGAATTTTTCAATATACTTTTTTGTTTTCCTCAGTGTAGGCTCAGGATTTTAAAGCAAAACTCAGTATTTAGTTTATACAGATTTATTCTTTATTATGAAGACCAAGTAAACTTTAAGTGTTCATGTCGATAATGATTGTTTCAACTACCCGTGAGACTAAGGTGGCCTTTTAATTAATTTATTTGTATCACATATCCCAAAGGGTTGTTTTAGAAGGGACATAATTTGGAAAAAAAGACTAGAAGAAGACATATGGGACATGAAAAGGAAAAGAAGGTGCATGCTAACTACAAGGGCAAAAGGGACCTCTGAAGACATATGAGAATTCCTCTGTGGCAAGGTCAGACGAGGGGAGCCTAAGAAGTTGTGTAATTTTTGTCATCAGGATGGAGTGAGCATATCAATTCTTCAGAAGGGATATTGTCAGCATTTCATTCTAAATAAAATTTAATGCACAGAATCTAATAAAGGAATGCCCAAGAAACATAAGGTTTTTGATGACAGTTTTACAAAATATGAAGAAAAAACTTTAAAATAAATTTGGCTTCACTCTGAAAATTATAATATCCTAATTTAGGATAAGAGAGAAAAATGAATCTGCAACATGATAAATATTTAGTGCTGGGCTCTTTTATCTTGTGGCACACTTCTCTATTTAGCTATCACAGAGACCCCAAAGTCAATATGAATATAAAAAAGGAAAAAAAAAAAAAACCCAAGTATTCCAGAAGATTCTATTATTCATCTTATAGAAGGAGCTTTATATCAGGATAATTTCTTGATTGTTTTTTTTTCTGGCATGCTTCTTTATTTCTATAATTCCCATCTGTCTAGCATTATCCCACCTAATAACACTTAATATTTATCCACCTCTGTCTTTGTGCTCACATCTTTAGGAAATCAACAGTTACAGAAGTGATGACAAAGATACTGACAATTCTACTCTACTCTCTGTCCTCTTTCTTCTTCCCCTTACCAGCCAAATCTCTGGATGTTCCAGCCTGTTTCCACTCTTCCATTTTCCTGTGCTTTCCTCAGTTTGCTGTCCTCTGGCTTCTCCCTCTCCTCTGCAGGAAAACACCTCTTGTCAGTCTCTAATATCATCCTTATTGCTAAATCCTAAGGATGCTCTTGAACCCTTTTCTTCTAACCTCTTGGAAACGACAAATGTCTGCTCCTTTCTTGATACTTCTTTGCTCTGTGACTCATTCTTTCAGTCCCCACTACTCCGATGACTTGTTCTAGTGTCCTTTGTGTTCTTCTCTTCTTAGGCAAATCTCTTACATTTTGGTGGAATCCTCTTCCCAGCTTCCATTTTGCATAATGCAGCACACTTGCTGTGGGGGTCTCATCTACTCCTATGGCTATAATTACTATCATTTTCTTGAACTTCATGTTTTCATATCCAGCTCCCTGCTAGATGTCACCTACTGGATAAACATCAGACCTGTCCAGCCTGAACTCATCACACAGTTCCCTAACTTGCTCCTTGTATAGATCTTGCACTACCATCCACTCCAAAATGCAGAGGCCGTTCTTGTCTTTTCCTCTGTCAACCTCATCTCTAGTAAGTTATTAAGTTTTGTTGCTTCTACCCTCCAAATACCTCTCAAATATGTGCAGTTCTTTCCACTCCTCTGCTACCATCCTGGATCAGGCAATTACAATCTCTCACCTAGAATACATTTATCACCTACTTGTCTCCTTGTCTGTGGCCTTGCTCTTCTTCAGTGGTTTCCACTATAGCCAGGGATCTTGGCACCAAGGAATTCAGATTATGCCATTTCCAGGCTTAAAATCCTTCAATGACTCCGTATTCTCTTATAAAGAAGTTCATACTGGTTGATAGAGCTTATCAGACCCTTCATGATCTTGTTCTCGTTTTCCTCTTTGGCTTTATTTTTAGAGGAGGTGTGAGGGAACTTACTTCAAGTCTCCATACTATGAGTACAAAGTACCTAGTTAGGAACACAGACTTAGACATTCAACTATAAGAGTTCAAATTCCAGCTTGTCACTTAATATGATGACCTCAGGTAGCTAGCTTACTTAAGTACTCAATCTCAGATTCCCATCTATAATATAGAATAATGACAAAATTATTATGAGGATTAAATGAGTCAATGAGAGTAAAACATTTAGAGCATGCTGGGGCATACTCAGTAAAATCACCCTCTATCCACTATTACCACTAGCCCTAGCACTGAAGATCGTGGGACCCCTCATTTGTGATTCAAAATCAAAACAATTCAGAATTTTAAAGTCCATTTTAGGCAAAAAGTGAGACTAACAAGGGTGTGATGTTTTTCAATGATTGCTATTTTGATCTTTTTTGGATATACCAGATTGAAAAAAAAAAAGAGAGAGAGAGGGTCTAAGCCCTTTGCTTAGGGGCTCTCTTTGCATTCTGTATTCCCTCAATTTTCCGATTACCATTCTATGTCACAATTTCTTCTTGTTTTACCTCCCATTATAATGCTATTGCCATGAAGGCAGAGTCAACTTTTATCTTATACACTTTTTAAATGCTCTCTGCTTGGCATCGCCTGTGTTCAGTAAATCAGAGAATGACCGAAGGCCAGGAACCTCACTTTTCTTTAGTTATCATCTCATTAGGACAGAAAAAAATAATAGTAAATTTATATATATTTTTAAAGAACTATTTGTTTATTTCTTTTTCCTTCTGACATTGTGCTTCTGCATTAAACACTACTCATAACCAAATGAATTACTAGCTTGGTCTTTGCTGTTTTAAAATCCAAGTGATAGTAAAAAAATGAACCTTCTAAGATTCTGAAGACCTTTTCAAAACATGGCAGGATTGTTCTCTGTGCTGAATTTTGAAAACCTGGTATGAAGGCATTGGTTTTGCATCTGTGGTCCTAAGTCTAACCTAGAACTCTTAATGGTGGAAATCTCAGTGTGGGGCTGACTGGTGAAGAGGAAATTTTTGAGCCCTCCCAATCGGGGTCTTGGGGAAGTTACTCATTTACCTCCAACAGAGAAGTTCTTACGTTTCAGACTTGAAGCCCCTGGGAAGTCCCTGATTCCCTGTTTGGCAGGTAGGTGCTGAGATTTCATCTCACCATTATAAATTATTCAACAAACATTCATAAGTTCTTCCTAGGAGGTTTGTACTAGCGCCTGCAGAGGCATTATGTAATACACAAAGACAAAGACTTGGGCCTACCCTTCAGAAGTGCAATCCAGAAATCACCTGCTGCTCTTAGAAAAGTCTACCCCACGTCTTCAGGGAAATCCCATATCTGCCCTAGCAGTTTTGCAAATGCCCAGGGAGTTCTGCTTCATCTCATCATCTTGGGCTCTGATGTTTTACTGACACTGGATTTGTATTGTTTATTTTGTGTCCTCTGGTTGTTCCTTTATCTCTGTTCTGGCATCAACTCAGACATAGGAGGTCATTTCGTCTCCATGATTCTTTTCCTCAGACTCTCAAAATATCACCATTTCAAAATGGAAAATAATCTTTCCTCATACTTGTTTGTACTACGTGATCCAACTTTCTCCATTCCCTACCTATAAGCTCTTCTTGAGCTTCCTTGGCATGGCAGTTATTCTCCAATGCACTCTGCTAAACAGTGTTCCAACTGTTCCATCCATGTCCCCCCCTCTTCCTTTCTCCCTCATTATGTGAGTAACATCACCACCACTATCCTGGTCGTGACTCCTCCAAAGGCATGAATGAATATAGTCACAGTGGGCTTCAGAAACATTTTTTTTTTCTCTTCCCTTTACAGAAGTGTGACACCTAGGGAAAACTTGGAAGAAGAAGAATTTATTTATTGAATTCTTTACTTCAACAATTGAAGGACAAGGACCAAGCCTTGTTTGCCATTGTATTTCTATCATCTACACACAGAATAAGTACTCAACAAATATTTATTATGCAAATAAGTTTACAATTTCCAGGAGACATGCACTGAAGTTAAATATGTTTAGTTTCTCTATAAATAGCTCAGCACCACCTAATGTTCCTATTCTCTAACATACGCTGTATTCTTGTTATATGTCAGGGCACTATAAATTTGAAAACAGGTATTGTTCATCTGGCTTGTATTCTGTTCACAGCATTCTCATTGATGTCTAAGGCAAAACAGTGAGGATCTGGCAAAATGTTTTGGCTGTACAGACTGTGGAGCTGTTTTCTTCAGGTACCATGGCTGCCAATATCCCCAAGATGGAATGAACTTTTGACTCTGGGCACCAGATAAAGCTTCAAGCTGTTCCCTGTAGGAGTGAGGAACTTGGAAGGAGTTAAGGACTTCAATGGCTTTCGCTAATGCTTTTAGGCAGCTTCACCTATTTTTGCCTAAAAAGCACACAGAACAGTTAAAGATCAAGGCTTGTTTTAAATATGTCATCCAGGACTCCTGGAAATCCAGATATTGGAAATAATGTCTGACAATTGTTTTCTTCTTTAAATAAACCCCAACAGCTTTGCCACCAGCAGTAAGCTCCTGTGTATTAAGGCAATGTGTCCTTGAAAGGGGTTTCATCTCTTCTTACATATCCTGTTTATTTTCTCAGGTGGAATGATCTCAAAAAAAAATTTTAGCTTAATGAAATTACCAGCCTGGACGGAAAAGCTTTATGTTTGAATAGAACATTTTTTTACTTCCCAAGTACTTTTTCAATAAGAAAACTGACGGTGATATAGCTGTTGACCTTAAAGATGAAATATTTGCCTTTGCATGCTGTGTACTTTCTCAAGAGAAAGTTGTGCTATTTTCCTGGTCCTTCAGTGAAATATGATGGTCCCTCACACAGGTAGAAATGCTTTGGACCTTAGATCAACAATGTCACAGTCTTCCTTGCTTTTATCACCCATAGCCTGCATTTTGTCTGGAAGCCAGTACACGAAAGCTGCTGCTGTTTGAGCAGATTTCTTTGTTGTGTTCTTTTCTCATTTTGAAAACCATAAGAATTGCTACTCAATAAAAAAATAACAGTTGAGCTTCATTTCAGTATTGGTATTGTGGCTCCAGCTGCGAGCACTGCAGCATGCTCTGGAGGAAGCTTTTAGGAGTCTCCATAATTTCTTCCTGACCCCAGCTGGTGATCAGTTTATGTCCTGAAGCTTGCAGATGAATAGCCCTTCTAATTCCCATCCTCGTGTGGGTGCATTCTGGCTTGCCCTATCTGAATAGAAAATCTGAAAGGTGACAGTGTTTTGAAATGTTATTCCTCTGGAAACAGGAAGAGAAACACCTTAGATTAATAGCCTTCTTATTTATAAAAAGAGAAAGCATATTTTGTATGTCACATTAGAATGCAATGCAACAATTCTCACCTAGTACGGTGTTTATGGTCCATTTATGATTTTGTTCTCTTCCTTTTCCTTTAACATATTATTTCATTCAATCAATCACATAATCATTCTATCATTTTTATATTCTTTATCATATATTCTTTTATTCAACTCACATCTATTAAGTATCTTTTATATGCAAGATATTGTGTATGATAATGGCCCCTGACATTCTTGATTTTTTTTTTACATCCACAGTTTACAAGCTCATAGGGAAAATAATAATTGAATATAGATGTATATAACAGAGGCTGATTAAAAATACTCTGCTGTTTTAAACTTAAGAAAAAAACAGTTTACAAATTATTTTCACCTGATTTAATTCATGTCCATACTACTTAAAGAGTTGGTATCAGAATCCACATTGTATTGTTCCCTTTCTTTTGTGATTGCCAATTGTATCCACTTAGCATTGAAACTACACTAACACGATGTATTTGCTTTTCTGAAGATTTTGTGAAGGAATGCACCAGGACATTTCTTTCATCATAGCCTTTTCCCCTTTGTCACTGATGTTGTCACTAGGTGGCTGCTTGTCCTACTCATCCCAAGATGCTTTGGAAAAGGGGACATGTTGTAATTAGAGTCTGCACAGGGAAGTGCAAATGCCAAACTGGATTTCTGGTTGGGATGGCGGCAAGAGACAAAAACTGTTGTAAAATGTACCAGTAAGTACCATTTAAAATATGTGCGAAGAAAAAAAAAGGCTTCCTTTCTCTAGAAGATTGAGTTAATTTACCTTTAAGAAGGGACACAACAATCTGGAGCAGATTGTACTGGCCATTTAACCCACAAAGGGGAAAAATAAAATTATATCTCCCAAATAAACTTTAGTCTCAATTACAATCTCTATGGTCTCTTCTAGCTTTAAAATTCTATGATTCTAATTATGCTCTCCGTGAATTTGTTTCCATTGCTCTATCAATAAAAGGCACAAGGCTGCTTCTATAAAACTCAGAGTCAGGTGGAGATATGAAAATAACCAGTCAACATGACAGATATAGAAAATAGAGCCAGATCATCTTTTCCCCTTAGCTCTATGGGTCATTCCACTTTGCATTGTGTGAGTATAATCTGGAAGAAGAACCACCTGGTGAACACAAGATGAGTGACCCAAATGTAGATTATTAACTATAAATTATTCTATACTGGGTAGTTAGACATATTTAGATTACCTAAAACTACAGTTAGAGAGGTTTTTTCCTTTTAATACATTTTCAGAGTCATTATCATCTTTATATTCATAACTGCTCTGTGATATAGATGATGTGTTTATCAGCATGACCCAAACCAGAGGTTCTGAAAATCATTTTTTCTTTCTCAAAACACCTGAGTGATGCAGGGCACTCAAATCAACTGGGTGCTGGAGATGGCAGTTTCTCAACAGGAGGGCTTCTGTCCTTCCTCCCAGGAGGTATGTTGGAAATTTGAGGATGATCTTAGCTTCACTCTCAACCAAGAGTGATGCTCCACCTAACCTCTTCTGGTTGTAAACTACTTCTGAAAAGCTTCTTTGATTATCAAGAGTTCTGTAGATATCAGAGGAGGGAGAGTCAGCAGGATTCCTTCACAACCCAAGTAGAGATGTTAGGAGTGAGAAATATGTGGGAATGTCACTTTAAAAAAGAATTTTCATTTCAAATGGTTTGGGTAGGACCCTTGGAGGGTACCTTTTAGAGAACAATGGGACTAATCAACTGTGTGTTATTTTCTTCAGTTAATTGAATTGTCTTACTAACTTGGTCATTAGGATCCTGGCTTTTAACTTATATCCCAGGGAAGACTCATGATTACAGGCCAATCTACATGTGGTATGTTCCATAAAATAACCTTCACAAACATAAACCTTGTTATCTTGCTTTGAAAGAAAGTGAATACTGGAAAAATTGATGAATGTTAGCTAACTTTTATCAGAGCACTTGGGTTATTTGTTTTTCTGCTCATATGATATTTCTATTTTCTCCATAAACACGATTTCATTAGTAACAAGGCTCTTAAATTAGAAAAAAGATGGTGGGAATGGAGAGCAGGATCCATGCAAGAGATGTGAGAGAGTTAATCTAAAAAGTTCATATCAATTTGGATGTGGGAAACAAGAGGGAGAGAAGATGATTCCAAGGTTTTGCACCTGATGAATAATGAGATAACAATGTTATTCATGGAAACAGGAACACAGAGCGAGGAGTTTGGGACAAGTAGAATTTGAGGTGGTGGCTATGAGTCAAAGCATATGGCTTGCCAGCTCAGTGTACATCATTAGTGTTCTCCAACAGACCAGTGGTAATTTGGGCCTGCAGTTTATAGATTACTGGGTTTCCATAGCTGTAATAGTTGAAATTACAGGAATAGATAGGATGCATTGCTAAAGAGTTAGTTGAAATTGTAGGAATGGTTGGGATGCAGGTATGAAAAGGGAAAGTATACAAAGGAGATTTTTGGAGATAATCCATGGGAAGTATAGCTGATAAATACGCCAACTAGGCTTTGTAACATGTACAAATTAAAAACGCACCTCTGAAATATACAGTGTCTCTGGAATCATACAGCATTGTACATGTTGGCACAGGAATGTTGTCAAATATTAGATCCTGATTCCACTTTTTAAACAAGCAGAGCAAAGGTGACACGATTTGTGCATCTTCTCTGTTGTCAATCCTGGCATAGTGTTTATTTTCAGCTGGGGAATGTATTCCTATGTAAAGATTTAATGAAAAAAAATGCATGAAAGAAAGAAAGGAAAAAAGGAAGGAAGAAAGAAGAAAACGAAGCCAACACGCCAGGTTTGTGGCAGGGAGTAACTCCTGGTTTGTAACAGGAATGCTTCCCAGTTTGTTTAGCTAGTGACCTCCAACTTGATTCAGAAGAAGTAGTATTCACTGCAGAATGAGAAATGATTCATTTCTGGTTCAACTGTAGCCTTGGGCCTGTTCCTCCATAAAGAATTGCCGGGTGAGCTTGATTATATTCCTAGGCTCAGAGGCTGGCACTTCCAGAAAGTGCTCTCTTAATCATTTCACTCAGGTCCTCGGCCTGACAGCGCCAAGAGCCCCGAAGGGGAATCGCCACAGGCTTATCCGTTTTCCACCAACATCTTAAGGGATTTCACTCCTCTTAGGGATTCTGTGGGCTGTGGTGTCCTTTGCCTTGTCCCCTCTCCATTTCCCGCCCAGTGTGTTGACTGTAGGGACTAATTGCTGCAAGCCACATAAGTTATCATAGTTGCTAAAGGGTTCTGAAACACCTCTCTTCATTCTAACTCGCTTACAGGTCTCTGACAACCTCTCTATCTTGCTTCTATATTTCTTCAGCTTTATTTCTTTTCACAAACTCTTTCCCAGTGTCCCCTCCCCTTTGACAGCCTATTTAGTCCTCTGCTCTCCCGAGTGGAGAGAGAGTTGCTCAGCAGAGTGTCATGCTGTAATGGAAACTAGGTCCCACGGGTGCCCACTGCCTGTCCCTGAAAGCTTTTTCATCTTGTCCCTTGTTACCCCAGAGAATAATTACTTCAAAGACCAGTCCCAGTGCCTGGTATTTCAGTTTATCTCATTACCTCCGTTTTTTTGCCAAGCCCGCCAGTGATGCCAGAAATCAAATCAGGGTTGCTGGCAGTATTGCCTGCCTAGCATGTTCTGCCTCTCCACTGCCCGACACTCTAATGTTCCCTGATTGCAAACCCTGTCATCATCTTCTTTGAATTAGCTGTGCCTCCTGAAATGGCATAATGGCTGTGCTTGCTGGAGTGCTGATGTGGAGTCCTGTTTTAACTGTCTGTCAAAGTCTGGGCTAATGAATTCTATTAGCATATTAACTTGCCAGCTTTGGGAGCCCAGGAGGAGCTGGGCAGCCAAACGCAGTTGGCAGAGCACAGCTGCAGTGCTTCAGAGAGCTCCTTGGCAATTGTGGCACCAGAGACTCCAGTAATGTAAATGTGCAGACATGGGAATGTATGCAGAATTAGAAAGGTTATTTGTAACAATGCACTCCAGCTGTAGAAAATGGGATAAGAGATGACATTTTTTGACTGTGGGGTCTACCTCAGGCATTTTAAAGAGTAGCATAGCCTTGGGAATGCCCGAAGGCACTCATGGTCTAATCCTATATTCTTTTAGAAATTAGAATGTATGGAAGCAAGGTATACTTTCCACATGACTTTTTATTTTTTTAAGGTGGTTTGAGGTAGTCATATGATATTAATCTCTTTTTAACTCTGATGACCTGTGATTGGCATTGTTCCTTTAATAACCAGGCATCATTGATAGGAATGCTTGTTAAGAGTAGCTGGTAGCTTAATGACCAGTATACCACTTTCCTGACCCTTCCATTGAAATTCAACTCCCTGGAATAGCAAATTATGCAATTACTAATAACAGAAAAAGTGCCTTTTCCCCCCAGTAAATAGAGGCTTGAAGTGGATGTATATTCATCACCGATTTTACATTAGTGTTTAGGGTAAACTTGCTGTAAGAGCAGGTACCATGGTTGCTAGGCAACAAGAAGTGATTGTTATGCCCAAGATTCAACTCTTAAAGTGTATGTTTAATGGGTGTAATCTTCAATTTAGTTTGGGATTAATTTAAAAAATGTATAGCTTGAAATACTTTATGTTAATAAACTTTTAAATTTTGCAACATGGTATTAACACTAAATGTGTGACAGGCACTAAATTCCAGAAAGGTTTCTTAAAACTGTATTAACTGTGGTTAGAGCTAAATTATTCTGCCCACCTAAATAACTTTTGAATAAATTAACAAATTAATTAGTGTTGTTCTCAAAGACTTGGTGAAAGCTTGCATATTTCTGGGTAAAGGATATTGCAGACATAGCAAATGTAATTATAAGGTCTGTAGCTAAAGTTGAGTCTCTCTGTCTTTATTAGTCTATCATTTCTGGTATTAAGCATGATCACTTTTTAATCTTTACTGTCAACAGAAGAAATACATGCAAGAACTTTGACTTACTGAATCTGATGCAGTGATATTGTGATATTTATTTTGTAAACATAATCCACAATAATATTATTTCTGTCAAAGACAATGGTGCTTAAAATGCTTTATGATCTACTTCTAGTTTTTCTTCCTCATGCTTATTTTTTGAATATTATTTGTTGAAGTATTATTTATCTGGTCCTTCCTTCCTATGAGTAAATATACTTAACACCAAAAACCCAAATAACCCAATCAATAAATGTCCAAAGGAACTGAGCAGACACTTCACAGAAGAAGAAATACAAATGAACAAAGAAATATATAAAAAATGTTCAACACCTCTAGCAATTAGAGAAATGCAAATTAAAATTACAATGAGATTCCATATCATTCCAGTCAGAATGGCAATTATAAAGAATACACATAACAATAAATGTTGATGAGGATGTGGGAATAATGGTACACACATAGATTGCTGGTGGGATTGCAAATTGGTGCAACCACTCTTGAAATCAGTATGGATATTTCTTAGAAAACTTGAAATGGAACCACCATTTGATTCAGTTATCCCACTCCTCAGTCTATACCCAAAGGACTTAAAATCAGCATACTACAGTGACACAGCTACATCAATATTTATTGCAGCTCAGTTCACAACAACCCAGCTATGGAACCAACCTAGGTGCCTGTCAGCAGATGAATGGATAAAGAAAATGTGGTATGTATGCACAATGGAATATTATTGAGCCATAAAGAAGAATGAAATTATGTCATTTTCTGGTAAATGGATGGAACTGAAGAATATCATGCTAAGTGAAATAAGCCAGTCCCTCAAAAAGCCCAGATATACGGTTGCCAACCCACAACAAGGTGGGGAGCAAATAGAAGTCC